TTTTWTTTATTTWTWTWTTTWWTTTTTACTTAAAAGTACTSGRGCAGATGCATATGATCCATGAAAGTAGGGCCTAAATTATGCTAATTCCTTTGTTTMCTATTRACTACACTATTTAGTAGTAATTAGTATAGTATCAATTTATAGTAATGTTTCTTTGTATTTTGGCTGTTAGGATAAGAGAGTTTGTTGATTTTCTTCCACTGAGCAACAAAGATCAGTCACCCAAAAGAGAAAATGATGATCCATGGTATGTTCATAATACACAAATAAAATAATTTACAATATTATMAATTGATATGTTTTTGTTCTCATTTCTAGTGATCGTCTTATCCCAAATCTGGATACATTGGTTCCATTTGACTCCAATAAGCCTTATGACATTCTTGATGTTGTCTATCCAGTAAGGGACCTCCTGTTTAGTGATTCTATACTATCCCTTGCTATTCCATTCTATCATCCTATCCTMTCCCATTTTTTATATGATGTCATGTTCTGTCCTGAATTTAATAAGTTATATCCCATCTTTTTCTGTCACATTCAATCATATTTCATTTTTTTCCCATTTCATTTTTCCCATTTTGTTCTGTCATCYCATCCTCTGGATTATTATATGCAATCCCATCCTATTCTATCCCATTCARTCTGATTTCTTTTTATTCACTATTGCCTTATTATCCCATCTTATTCCCCAATGTTCTTATATTAGGTGCTGGATGATGGTGACTTCTTTGAACTCCAACCTAATTATGCTAAAAACATTGTCATTGGTTTTGGTCGTATGAATGGTAGGACTGTTGGCATTGTTGGGAATCAGCCAACTGAACTTGCAGGTAATCATGTTATCATACTTTGAAATGTTTAATACAAACTGTATTGTGTTAAGGAGCTGTGAAGACCTTATCAAATATTAAAAAAATATTAAATAGCCCATTGCATTCTATTCTAAATACAAATATCATTTGCCCATAATGGTATATGTTGTTACTTGATCTAGGCCACAATGCACAATTTGTTTTTAGTCATTACGAAAAGATCTGTCACTGTGTTTTTATGTCATACAATCTGACCGGTTTTGTTTTGTTTTTGTTTTTTTTTGTTCTTTTTTTCCCAGGGTGTCTTGATATTGATGCATCAGTGAAAGGAGCTCGGTTTGTAAGGTTCTGTGATGCTTTCAATATTCCAATTATTACATTTGTAGATGTACCAGGATTCTTACCAGGTAAATATATCCTTATTATAAATCATTAATGATTATTGTCATCAMTGCTGTCATCATCATCATTATCATCATAAGTAACAATCATTATGGAAGTCATTGTGACAATAATTACCATAAACTTCTTCACTATTTCCAGGAACACATCAAGAGCATGGTGGTATCATTCGTCATGGTGCTAAGCTATTGTATGCCTATGCTGAGGCTACTGTACCCAAGATTACCGTCATTACCAGGAAGGCTTATGGTGGTGCTTATGATGTCATGAGTTCCAAGCAYCTGAAAGGTGACTTTAACTATGCATGGCCCACAGCAGAAGTAGCTGTAATGGGAGCACAGGTAAGACTCTCTTGCATGGGATTTTAYTGGGAMACGACATAGAAACTGGACAATTGAGAAGAGACCCCTCAGACAGAGCGACATCCACATCACTCTTGGTTTTCTCAATGTGTTTGAAATCTTACATAAGTTTAGTTGAAGCTGTAGATAGTGATGCTGAATACAATGAGATCAAGTCCTTCGCTTTTGTTTTCTCAAATGGATCCGGGGAGAAACGACAATAGCAAATACGAGGAACACGAAGATCAACAGCAACTCTACTGTAGATAGAAGTAACAGGAAGCCTGGCTAATGTTCTGGTATTTTTACAACTAGGGCGCTGTTTCTATCATTTTCCGTGGAAAGAAAGACATTAGTAAGTACACACGGCTCATTTTACTAAATGTTGCAGAACCATTTGTGAAATTTTGTGTTTTTGTTTCAGAAAAATATGAGAATGAGTATGTGGATCGGTTTGCYAACCCTTTCCCTGCTGCAACAAGAGGTATTTAATGAAAATTGGATGCTTACATTGATTTTATTTACAATACAAGTATTGAAAATGTGAAAAAATGTTCCAGGTTTCGTTGACGACATCATTGAGCCGCGCATGACAAGAAGAAGAATTTGTGAGGACCTCGAGGTTTTGGCRACAAAGAAACGAGAAAACCCTTGGAAAAAGCACGGGAATATCCCTCTCTAGATTCACAAGGTTATCAATATCAAATGAGATAAAGAAATARATCGTTTTCAATTGAGAGTAATTTCTATAAAATTGGCTAAGCGAAAAGACCCCGAACTGATCTAAAGGTAGACTAAGTTATTCCAAAAAGTAAGGTTAACGTACGGAAAAAAAGGAAAATTATCAGTAATGCTAACTTCATATTTTATATACAAACTATTTTAGGAAGACACGAGTGAAGTGTTGGGCAAGTGTTTAAAAGTGATGTTTATTGTAATTTTGTCATAATTTATTTTCTTGGAAGGCACACAGTTGTACATGTATACCTTTTTGACTGAATTTTTTGGAAAAAATGTAGGAGCAAATCCAGCATTGTATAGGAAGTATATGCAGTATATATTATAAAAGCATAATTTATAGTATATTGTTTGCACTCTATTRTAGAGTACCCAGTAAAACATTAGTTAGTCTTTATTTTACTTTTTTAAAATCCTCGACTTTCAATCGATCGTGTTCATCTAACCACCTGTACACTAATATACGTGTATCAAGAGTAAGGCGTTACATCGAGCATGATGATCAATGATTTAAATAAACTACTGAAACATCGATTTATTGGTTGTCTTGTTTGTCAGTAAGGGAATGTTAACTGTGACATTTGTGGTTTATTTTTTGTAAGACCGCATGGCTAATTTGCATGCATTTGAATATGAAATGAACACCGTCATGGCGGCTAACGTGACCAAGATGAGTATATAAATGTCGGCGAAGACGGAAACGTGTACACCTTGGATGTCCGTTATTTTCATTTGTACCTATTTTACATCACTGACTGACTGATGGATGTGGTTTCGTTTGTCTGAGGTCTTCGTGTGTCATGACGTCTGGACGTGGAAATGCGTAGACGCTGCTTTCTTCTCGATTTTCATGTTCTTTCTCTCTTTTCCATTTTTTCGTTCTTTTTTAAGTTTTGGAAAATAAGAATATGTAAAAGCTTTCGTGGTATCCCATCCTRGAAAGATGAAAATGTTGAAGTAACAATAAAATATCCTTGCTCTATGGTACTAAAGGTGTATTAAGCACTGGTGAAATTGAATTTAAATTGTAAGAAGGTCAGTAACTAAATAAACTTACCTAATTGAAAATATTGTGATTCTAATTTATATTTCCAATCTTTGCTGTCATCTTCGTCGCTATTATCATTGCTATTGATRCTACTGGGTACAGTAGGAATTTCAGGAAYCACAACARCATCATCTTTATCAAGGCTCATCTCAACTCCAATATCCTCATTCAAATCGATTTCAGTAGATTTCAATTCCTTCTCAACTTTTTTCTTTTTTCTTTTCTTCTTATTCTTTTCTGGTTTCTGATCGGGAGCCGTCAATACAATCTTCGGCAATTTATTTGAATCTTCGAGAATTTTACTTCCTTTGGCGTTGAAACTGYTGTCTTCGGTAGTTAAAGACTGTGTACTGGACTTGTATTCATTATCATCTTGTACAGGYTTTTCGTTTCTTGAGTAAAATARTCGTGAGCTGATGCTTGAGGTGGAATATCGTCTTGCTGGAGTTTCASCAGCGCCGCCGGCCTCTAGGTATGGTTTGTAAGACAGAGAGATTCTGCGAGACGATTCCGGTGACTGAAACAAGCAAATGGACACAATCGTAATCATAATCGTAATCATAATCATAACCATTTTTGTAACAGTAGTTCTCATGCAGAAAGATTCTCCCTTTACTCTCCGGCTTTTTTTATAGCATTTCACTTGACCTCATTGATCTCTAGAACCAACTAGAAAATCCCTGTTCTCGTGTTGTATTGACCATTGTGATTGTAGCGATACTACTACTGGAGGTTTTTACCCAGCATGAAGTGCGCTTCAGTGAATTTCTTTCCGGACCCCAAGCTTCGTTTTGCTCTCATTTAATAGACTTAAATAATGCAAATATGTTTTATTTTGAGTTCATTCAGAGATATAACTTATGATCAAAAAGTGAAGAAAGTACCTATTTATCATGTATTATAACAGTAACTTTGTGCACCCATATATTTTCAAATCAGAAAATTACAACAATTTCATATCTTATTTATTTTTGTCAGCAATTTCGTTTATTTGATATCGATGTTTTATTATTCTAATATTATTCCCACTGTACTCATTGATTGCACTCATTGAAGTAATACTTATAAGGTGATTTCATCTTGCTTTTTTACCTTATTTCCACCGGCTCGTTCATGTAGCTTAGCTGTTTGTCCTTTACAAGCTACGTCCTCTCGTTTTGGATTTAAAAGCTCCAAAAAACTCGGTTTGTTTATAACTTCGGAAKTCTCTGGAGTTACRATGAAGGGAAAGCTTGCAACTGAATGACGCTGTGGACGGTTTGTTCTTTGCATACCTCCTTACTTGAAGTCAGTGAACTGAGCAAACTACAGTAGATAAAGACAGTTTAATTCAAATACAAGCTATATAAACGAGAACAGCGAATATATCCGACTTGAAAAAAGTAARTTCTCTCGCTGATCTACAGYTAGTTTTACCTTAMCGTTTTTCATGAAATTCTTTGTTGTCTTTTCAACATTTGTTCATCACCAAGCACGCTCAAGAAGCGTTGATAACTGCGATGACATCCAAAGAAAATGAAGAAACATGCAGATACTGTAGGTTTGCTTTCCTTTTCGCTCAATCCAGTAGTCTCCAAGATKAAAATTTATTTGTATGGTGAGATRATTAGGTTTTTCTTCTATTTTATTGAAGCTGTCACCAAGTTAAACCTCAAGTTGCTCGCTTTTGTGATCGTAGCTGAATTGATTTRTAAATATGAATATTAAGACTATATGGACGGTCAGGTGGAACTTGTAGCTTGCTGTGAGCACCTGGATAAAACTTCAAGTGTAMAAATTTAACACCATTAAGCCATTAAATTTTCCAATTTAACACTTGTATTGTAATTCAAAAAGTTCAGTTTATTGGTCCAACAGAAAAGAGGGAAAGGTTTAACTATAAATGTGGGCTTTTATTTCCTTAATTGACTTTGAATACCCTCGGGAACAATCAGAGTTATTCATTCATTTTCTAAATACCGTATTAACAATGGCCTTTCTTTGTTCGTTTGTTATCCTCCCACCCCCACTGCATCGACATTGTCATTATCATAACCTCCATACATCAGAAAAACCGGCAATGTGATTCCAGCAGTGTAGATGAAACAAATCCGCGACCAATAGGAGCTGGATTTGTTTTGACGAGCAATGGGTATATCATAGTTTCATGATGTGAGGCGAAAAGTTCTCATAACACTTGATACATCGCTGCGCTGTGGGAAGTAAAAACTGAGGGTCGTGAAAATCACGCCTGACGGGATGCATTGCTGAGGTAGACTCGCAAGTTGCGTTAGAACTGTATTTTATAAACGCTGTTGAATTGATATTGAAAAAAAGAAGACTTTCGGTTTCTGGCTGGTTCTCCCTCATTTATTGACATCTCGCAACTCTCTAAATTGATKAATTTGGAACCTTGGACCGGAATGCTGTTCCATGTCTTAATGTCTTAAAATGTTACAAAGAGTGCGAAATGTAAATCCGTGAAATACTGGAAATTTGTTCTAGAAAAATTTGGCGTTTTTTTTCCGTTATTGTTGTTGTTGTTTGGTCATCATTCAAACAAAACAATGAAAACTGATTGTCACTTGTAAAAAACGACATGTCAGCTACATTGYACACGGATTTAGAATTTGATTGCTGAGAAAAGTTTTCTAAATCAACGAACGAACAAAATTGTAATATTCAAGGGCGGCGCAGCTTCTTTTTATTCGCGGATAGCTATACATTATATCAGTATAACAAATAGGTATCCGACATACCCATATCATTGTTTTATGCAAAACGGCTTGGTTTTTCAAGACGCAAAAGAGACTTCGTTGTACAAGTCGGACATATTGATAGGCCTTTGATTGGATTAGATCATGATCTCCAAGAATCAACTACGCATGCGTCAYTTAAATGATTATTTCGTAATAATATTAGCAATTTCAACAGTTTTTTTAATTTTAAACAGTTTAGATACTTGACTTTCTCAGTATAATAGGTTATAAATCTTGCTTGTGCAATTATTAAGATATAAATATTGGCTTCAAGTAGCTTTAGAGTGCTCGGCTCCGACTCGAGATAACCAATTCAACTTGTCATTCACATCACGCTCAAACAATTAACGTCTTTCATTCGTAATAATTAGAGTTGAATATTATCTAAGGGCAAATTATCTTAGTCAAGAATAAATGATTTTTCGCTTGGTCAGAGCTTGACAATCGTCATTTGACGAAGATAGAATGGAGGGACTACGTGGCACTTCAAATCGTAGTCAAAATGGTAGAATATTTTCCAAATCAAAAAATCCTTGTCCTTGAAAATATTTGTTAAGATAAGCTCCCAGTTTTGGTTCGGCAGTTTTGATGAACTGATAAAACCTGACAATGAGTCGCCATATTAGAAATTAGAGCGCCTTTCTTAATTGAATAAGATTGCTWTTTTTCTTGTATTTCCTGCTAGTTTTGTGTATTCGTAATGACCACTTATATTTTTAAATTTTCATAAAAAAGACATTTCCTCTTGTCGCGTCGTAAAACAACATAATTTSTCTCTTGAATGAGACTTGTTCTTTCTGAATCAAAAATCTTCAGAAAATTTCGAGATTTTGTAGGCTTTGCGTGCACTCTATAAACATATTGTAAGTAGGTGATGACATCCGTTAGTTAGAGTACCAAACGCGTAAACCAACTTAGTAATCAATATTTTTAAGGCTCTTAACCGGTCATAAAACAGCAATCTCTTCATACTTGAGAGCTTAACCTTTTGCGGCAGCTTTTAGGCCCTTCTCAATGGCTTAAACTTCAATGGTCTAATCTTGCTTCTCACTACTCGTTGTTTCACCATTGGTATTATTTCTTGTGTCTTGGTTCGAATCAAAGTCATGTCATGGATGATTTCAATCATATATTTCTTAAATAAAACATTTTACATGATAAATTAATCTGACTGTTAAAGACGAAATGAAATTAGAATAACCGGCATGTTTTTTCAAAGTCAGTACTGAAAAACTTGTCTGTCTGTGCATATTTTGTCCTCCTTGCATGTTTTAAGATTGCATCAGTGTTATGTGTTTGTGTTTTTAAAAGATCTTTGCAAGTGATTCTCGAACTTTAATGGAAACAGCTTTTCCGTCCTTTTAATAGTAACAGTTTATAAGAAACTAGTGTAATTGTCAAGTTTGTTTCAAAACAGCCATTTCACTTCCTTCCTTATCGTATGTTAATGCTATCCTTTTTTTCCCTCAGTTTATTATTATTCGATCATTCTCTTTTCCGAATCTGTAAACGGTGTCGTTTAGTCCACTATTAAATAGTCCACTCTCGTGAGAGGATGCGAGCTTGGGCTAGCTGAAAGTGATAGCCAAACATTATATTGAAGGTAAGAAGGATCATTGCATTATAATGTTATATATGCTGGGATTATTGTACTTCTTATTCAACCATAAGTACGAGAATTCTCATCCTGGTCATTGCGAAAAAGGAAAAGAAAAAGAAAAAAAACCATAAATTGATCATGCATCTCACTAATGAACACAAAACTTGAAGCTTTCAAAAGCTGCTTTCAAAATGGCTCTCCATGTGGCATGGATATAAGTGTTGTTTTTTTTTTGCACGTTTGTGTAGTCTTGGACGTGTTTTAATCATTATATGAAAAGGCGTCATATAAAATCGTTTTCTACTAGTAAGTAATCTCTATATATGCTTCAGGGAGACACTTGTTCTAGAGTTACTAGGTTAGACAAAACACTTTTAAAGTTTTTAGGATGGAAAAAAAATCAGGTATTTAGAATTCTAAGATTACTTTCTGAGTTAAAAACTGTAAATATCAATACAAAATTTTTATCAAAAAAGAAAAAAAAGCGGGCTTGAACACGTGACAGTAGAGACGTACGTTAGCTATGGACCCGGGCTCTAGAATATTCTAAATACATAGTCAATGACGTTATCGTTTCTTAACCAATTCTACACCGATTCATTTCAGATTATGACAATTATGAAGTCATGTTGTATATTACATGTTTAGTATAGACTTCTTGATGTAAATTTTCTTTCTTTTATTCCAAAAATTTGTTTGATCAGTCTTCGTTGACATTTAACATGAAGAATCAATGATCTTTTGAAGCCAATAGTTCACAGGGGAGGAGCGGGTTGCTATGCAACTCCTGWCAACTGRATCAAKACTATTTTGAGGTAAGAGAAATTCCAACATAATTAAATATTCTTTGGTGGATCTGAATGATTTGGTTTTTTCATATTCCTCTTCAAGGATCGATGCAAAAGAAATGATTACATCGGAAAGTATAACCTAACAAGGAAGATTTCCTTCCAAGAAACATAAAAAGATGAAGCAGAATCGACACTGTTACTTCTTTGTAACTTTGATCTTCTTCTTCGTCTCTGGTCTGGTGCTTTCAGGTACAGTTGRCTGCGGACATAATGATTTTAATTTAGACAACAACCATATACTATTTTAAATCAAAATTATGAATTGTGATAATAACAGTTTTAAAACTCTATTCGGTCTGGGTAAAACTTCATCATTAGCTTGTTGCCCAAGTTGGCAAAATCTTTGTCATTGCGTGTCTAGAGCGTTGATTAATAAATTATTAACGCGATTTCATAGACGCTTTACTGAATCCTCGGTTTATTTCGTTAAAATTTCAGGTCAGAGGCAAATTTTATGTTTCTTTGATAAATCTTTTCCGTATTAGTATAGAAATAAAATGCCTTGTTCAGTGCACTTGATTTTTTAATATTAATAATGAATAATAAAAGTTTAGTCGCGCCAAGTACTACGGTTTATCTAATAAGACTTCAATCGACTAAAACTTATATGGAAGCTAAAACTTATGAACGTTCGCAATGTCTGCAGTATTGAAAACTGCACACAAAAACTGTCTTATCAATTTACAGAGAGAACTGAGTTCCGACGTTAAACATACATTTCGGAGTGAATATTCAAAACGTCTTCTTAATCGGGACATTTTTTTAAGGAAACGTCAAAGTAATGTTGGAAATAGCCAGGAATAATCGGAAATAATCGCTCTACACTCATTGGTTTTCTTTGTTGAAGAAGGTTTCCACAATAAAGTTAGTAAATTGGACTATTCAATTGTGGATTAATTGAAAACATTGGCTTATTTGTCTCTAGCCTATCGTGACGGTATCTAAGGTCTCTAAGCGAAACATATTGACTACAGATATTATCCGTTATGATAATTCTATGAAAGGAAACAACTACATAATATATATGTTCTCATCGACTTGAGTGCAGAACATATTTAAGTGACAAGTGCCCCTGTATTGTTATGATCGGCCGGGTTGTGCTGTTTTTAGTTATCTGATGTTCTAAGCATTTAAATGAATTAATTGTTTTTGTCTCCAAAATAGCTGAAATGGGTATTTGTGCTGGATTGTGTTGTTATACTGGCCGAGATAGTTAATTAAACTTCCTATGGCTTCTTGGTAGGAGGCCTGATGGCTTGTTCGAACAAACCGAATAACAAGTTGTTTTCATTCTCTAAAATCTAAAATCACTTGAACAAGCCACATTCTTAACAATGCTCACGTTTAACCATAGTTAGTAGAGGATTTAACATAGTTCAGTGTACAACTGCTTAGTATATGAACTATTACAGCGAGTGTAATGTCTACCTATTGCCATTCAGGTTGAGCGAAGTGTTGTTTATCAAGTTGTCCTCACGGAAACCAATCGCTGTATTTTCCTTCAACCTTTACTTAAATTAAGAAAAAAACCTAAACATCGTTTAACATAATAACAAATATATAAACGTTTTAGAATTATTTATTGTAGAAGAACAAATAATGCAGAGTTAATGACTATGTGTGTCAAAACACGTACCTAAAACCTACGTTTACAGATTTTATTATTCATTTATTCATTCATTTTTTTTCGTTTTTCTTTGTTCTTTTCTGTATTTTTCATAGTATTTATTTACTCTCGCGCGCTTTGAAGTGTGGTACTATTATCTTTTTATCTGCTATCTTTTCGCTGATGTCTGGTATCTATCTACACCTAATTGCAAGAACATTGTCATATAAAATTAAAAGATAAACTTTAGAAAAATAACATATAAAAATAGGAATTGATTAAAATACAAAGAGATTACTTCAATTTGATTGACTCTAGTTTCTCTCTATTTCTATCTGTGAATTCCTTTTTTTATAAAATTTATTTCTTATTTTGATATGACCTCGTTCTTGTAGTTATAGGTATATCAGTAGTTTATCATTTCATTTTGTCCTTTGCCGTCACTAAAGGAACTAGAAAACTCCTTGTGTTGAAATCACCTGTTTCTAGTGCGCGCTTGACTTATGAGAGTACTCGACTATCGCAAAAATCATCGCCTCGCCCAGATAATTTCCCTCCTTTCAAACCTCTTCATAAATTAAAAAAAAACTTATATAGTGCATACTAGAAAGTCTAAAAAAAATCATTCTAAACATAAAAAACATTAAATCTTCAGCACTAGGTGTAAATAGCTGTCCTGAGGGGTGGACCATGTTTGGAAATGATTCTTGTATCTCCATTTCATCTGAAAGTTCTTCGTGGGTGGAAGCGAACAAAAATTGCACTGGTCATAACAACTTAACTGAATTGATAAATATTAGAGACGTTAAAGAAGAACTTCTTCTGGCTGAAATACTACGAAATCTGACGCTAAAGGCGAACAAAACAAGCAAGGTAGTACTAGCCGTTCACGTTTTTATTAGTAAACATTTTGTTTTGCTTCTTTCTTGTTTTTTTTTTTGTTTTGTTTTGTTTTGTTTTGTTTTTTCTTCTTCTTTTTGTATTGACACCTGTGCAATATTTGTGGGTACACCCTGTACATATTGCTTTGTCAGAGCCAATGAAATTTCAATATTTGTCCACACAGTTCTACATAGGTCTAGAAGGGCGCAAATGGAATGATTCCAATCAATTTAATTTTACCTGGACTGACTCTAAGAATCTGTACAATTTCACRAACTGGCGAATCATTAATGAGACCAACTGTACTGTGTTTAATGTTGGCGACCGAGTGTGYWTATACTTTGATACTGAAGTTTCAACKTGGAGACTGGGAAACTGTACGAGGAAAGAGCGATATGTTTGTAAACAGACCTTTATTAAAGGTAAGCATTGTAACACTCACAGTCGGGACACATCTTATCCCGAGAAATATGTACAGTTATTTAATCACCATTATTAATCCGACCCAACCCTATTCCGACCCTAATCCGACCATAACCTGATCCGACCGTAACCCAACCCAATCGCAAACCTAACCCAACACCGACCCAACCCTATACCGACCCTAATCCGACAGTAACCTGACCTGATCCGACCATAATCCAACCCATCGCAAACCCAACACAACAGCGAACCAACCATATTCCGACCCTAATCCGACCCATGAAAACTCATTGTGTCATGGACAAACTTCTGAATCTTTTACGGAACTACTTGATTTTCAGTGCATTGCGGGACAAATGTCTGGAGAAAACAAAAGAAATCCACTATGTTTTGTCCCATACATATCCTACAATGCATTGCGTGTATACGAGGGTATATGCCGTAAAAGCTTCAAAGGTCCATTGCTAATGAAGTTTGCCAAATGTTTTTCTTACTTTTAGCTCCTGTTTCTTCGATATGTAAAAAAGGATGGCATGAAATTTCAAATTTCTGTATTTTCGTCTCGGAGAAAAACACCTCTGGATACAGTTATGGAAAATCTTGTAACCAATTCGACAACCGAAGCTATCGTGTATGGATTAATAATCAAGACAAAGACAATGAAATTATCAATGTTTTAAAGAATGTTGTCAAGACTTCCTCTGAGGTAAGCGTGCGTTTACGCTGTGAAATCGGCATTTTATAGCCGTTAAACGGAATCCAATGCAACAGGCCTTGTTGCGCGTAGCATTGCAACTCGGTTCTATTTCGCCTTGCTGAAGTAACTCGCATGCATCATTACACAATTTGTAGCAGGGATATTCGTGCATCGGTTTTTCTGGTTTTATTGTTAACCTAACTAGCGTTGCACGGGGTAGAACTCAGGCCTACTTTTCGCGAGTTTTATTTTTAGTTTATGCAAATTGTACTCGTTTTTTGGAGTTTATAAGAAGTGTTTTCTTGTAAAAATAACCACAATACCTCCTTGGCAAGCCCTATTACATTTATAATTTTGCAGTAAACGTTTTTCGTTGCGAGATATGTAGCAGATACATAGTTTTATTTGTAACTAAATTGTTTCAAGCTGAATCAACAAAACTAAGCAATTATTTTTCTTCTCGTTATAATTTACAGTTTTATATTGGACTCGTCCGATATAAACATGAGATGAAGTTCTACTGGAATACTGGATTAATGTACAATTATACAAACTGGTACTCTATTAACGAGACTAGAAGGACTGCTGGCAATGGTGAAAGCCGCTTATGTGCTTATTACGGCTTGAATTACAAATGGCGTCTTGATAGTGGCTGTTCAAAACCAAGGAGATATATTTGTTCAATACGTAAGTGGAAAACTAGAGATTGACAGCTTTTGCAAACTTAATATCCCCACATCATAGATGGATGCAGCAGAGAGGGTTCGTCAATATGGTGACTCGCTTTCCTTACACCCTCCTCTGGACCCTCTCCTCCACCCTCCTCTGGACCCTCTCCTCCACCCTCCTCTGGATCCTCTCCTCCACCCTCCTCTGGATCCTCTCCTCCACCCTCCTCTGGATCCTCTCCTCCGTGAATATGAAGCACAACATTAACATTCAAATACTCACGCAAACATTTCGTGATTTTGCGCGCAACACGTTTTTATGTTCAACATAGAAAGTAGTATAAGAAAGGGGACAGAAAGAATTCATATCGTTTTACCACAGAGACTACATGATCTGT